AGTAGCGGCTTAAAGATTTTATAAGATAAAATATATTGAACTAAAGTAACTATTATTGTGATTGATCTGCATATTTCCTTCTTTAGTAGTTGTGTGTGTTGTAGTGTAGAAAGACATTTACAGTACATACACACTATTTTCGCCCATCAAGTTTTCTTTTTTCTGCATCAGCTGTACAAAGTTTTGTTAGGGGGGATTGATCCTCCTAATTACTTCCAGGCTTCCACAATTACTCTTCGTCCTAAAGTGAAAGCCAATCATAAGTGGGAGCACTTTAGACCAATTAGCCTTACCAATGTGCTCACCAAAATCATTAGCAAAATCTTGGTTTTCAGGCTCCAACCCTATTTACCATTTTTTATCGGTAAGAACCAGTCAGCTTTCATCTAAGGAGGAAACAAAGTGGGCGGTGTTTTTTTTTTGGCTCAAGAAAGGATGTTACACCTTGATAGGAAGTGTAGAGGAGGGAATGTAGTTTTTCAAATTAGATATTCAGAAGGCTTATGATACAATTCATTGGGGTTTCATTGAGGAAGTGCTCTTTGCTTGAGGATTATCTTCTCAGTTCTCCAATTTGATTAGAAGATGGCTTGCCAATATTTCTGACTCCATCCTCCTCCATGGCTAAACTCATGGCTTTTTAAACTCTACTAGAGGTATAAAACAAGGAGATCCCCTCTCCCCTACAATATTCATCTTAGCATTTGATTATCTCTCCAAGCTATTAAATCATTTGTCTCAAACCTCTCCCCACACTCATTTCAGCCACAAATCCAACATTGTTATTAATCATTTAGCTTATGATGATGATATAATCTTGTTCTCTAAAGCTTCAAAACCTGTCATCAAACTTCTTTACAGATGTCTTCTGGACTTTTAATCATGCTCAGGGATGCAACTCAATAAAAGTAAATGCCATATTCTTTTCAGCAGCCAAGTGAAGACCCCTTTCAAGCTCTGGATCTCTGATTACACTGGGTTCAGCAGCAGCTGAAACTCCCTATCAATTACTTAGGTATACAATTGCTTAATGGAAGGGTTAGACAAACCCAGTTTGATTATATTATGTCCAAAATCAATGACAAATTATGTTGTTGGACCAACTTTTTTTGCTCCAATGAGAGGATGATAACATTACTAAGGAATGTGCTACTAGTTTTACCTACTTATACCATGCAAATGGTTTAAAAAAAAACACCCAGCTTTTGTTGGAGAGATGTTTTAACATATTTTTATGGTCTAGGCAAAGGCAATAGATTCATTGGGTCAGTTGGCCAAAGGTTTGTAAGTCCCTTGATGCTGGGGGACTGGGATTTAAGAGCTTTCAACACCTAAAATTCATTAATTTCTACAAATTATGGGTTAAATTCAGATCTCAATCCTCTCTTTGCGCCAAATTTATGTTGGGGAAATACTGTAAAGACTAACATCTTTCTTTAGATCTAAAAGGTTGGGTTACTTTAGAATTTAGTTAATCATGCTGAAGGTGAGATTTAAACCAGAAGATCTTTTCATTTGGGAGTTGGGGAATGGTAATATCAACTTTTGGTTAGACAATTGGTCCCTTGGGGAGAAGTTGCAAACTTTTTCACCCCACCCCACTAACTTACATTTTCGAGTGGTTGATTGTTGTGTCACTGATCACTGAAACTATCAAGCTCAACATATTATTTTGGACTCTTCACAGAAATATAGGGTACTACAAACTCTTTTGACAGGTCCAAGAAAGATAGAATAATTTTAAAAAGACCACTTCTCAAAGCCTACCTGCTTACATCTATTCTAATTGTGCTCAAGACTAGACTATGGGATAAACTCATATAGGGGAAATTTTTGTCTCCCTCATGTCCTTTTTTAGTTGGAGACTATTCTTGAAGATGACACCTTCATATGATATTCTTAAACTCAAAGGTCTGAGAGGACCTTGTTGTTTTTCGTTATGTAGAAATGAGGAGCTGCTCCAGCATTTATTTTTCAGCTGCCCCTTTGTTCAGGAGGATTTAGATTTGATATTAAACCATCTCAATCTTATTACAATGCAACTAACTTGGTATAACTTCCACCTCTGTTGATAGGACTGGCAGCAAGTACAATTATCTCTTATTGCTTATATTGTGTCCTGGTTTGTTTGGATGGCCAAGAAACCAAAGCAAATTTGATGAGAAGAGATTGTCCCCTTGCAATGTTGCCAACCATTGTCTGATACATTTATCTAGGCTTATTGATTTCAAAAAATTTCTAGCAACTTGCACCTACATGAAACACCACAAACCTGTGAGTTTCAATGATTTTTTTGGCTATTGGCAGAGATTTTCTCCTGGTTGGGTAAAGGTTAATAGAGATGGATGTTTCTTGAATCATGATGCTAGTATTAGGGGGTTTTCTTAAGAGATTGTCACTGCAAATGCCTATTATACTTTCAGTCGCCGGTCCTGGCATGTGATGCTTTGGAGGCTGAATTTATTGTTGTCTTTTGGGCTATCCTTATTGCTTCTTGGGACAATGAAATAACCTCCTGGTTGAACCTGATTCTAAGAATTTTGTGAGCATCCTAACAAGCAGCTAGAAAACCCTTGATACCTGTTATCCTAAACTAAACACATCAATTGAAATTAACTTCTGAGTTACTAATATACTCAAGGAAGCAAACAGGCCAGCCAATTGGTTGGCTAGAGCAAGTTTACATATTGAAAATTACGTAATTAGTAACGTTTTGAATCTTTCTGTTGCTTAATCTCAAAGGTTTGAGAGGATCTTCCTATTGTCTGTTATGTAGAAATGAGGAGGAGAAGCTCCATTATTTATTTTTCAGCTACACATTTGTGCAAAAGGTTTGGGATTTGATATTAAACCATCTCAAGCTTAATACAATGCAGCTAACTTGGTATAATTTCCACCTATGTTGGCAGGACTGGCAGCAAGTACAGTTATCTTCTATTCCTTGTATTGTGGCCGAGTTTGTTTGGATGGCTAGGAACCAAAGCAAATTTGATGAGAAGAGAACATCCCCTTGCAGTGTTGCCAACCATTGTCTGATGCATTTATTTAGGCTTGTTGATTTCAAAAGATTCCCAGCTACCTGCACGTACAAGAAATGTCACAAACCTATGAGTTTCACTGTTTCTTTTGTCTATTGTCGGAGACCTTTTCCTGGTTGGGTAATGGTCAATACAGATGGTTGTTTCTTGAATCATGATGCTGGCATTGGGGATCTTCAAAGATTGTCACTGTGAATGGCTAGTATACTTTCAGTCCCCAGTCCTGGCTTATGATGCTTTAGAGGCTTAATTTATTGCTGTATTTTGGGCTATCCTTATTATTTCCAGGGGCCAATGCAATAACCTTGCTGGTTGAACCTGATTCTAAGAATTTGGTGAACACCCTAAACAAGCAGTTGGAATGCCCTTGGTACCTGTTATCCATGACTAAACACGTCCTCTTTATGACTGCTGACATCAACTTCAGAGTAACTTATATACCCAAAGAAGCAAACAGGTCAACCAACTGGTTGGCTAAAACAGGTTTACATAGTGAAAATTATGTAATTAGTAAAGTTTTGAATCCTTCTCATGCTTTTCTTTTAGATGGAGATTTTTTGAGTCTCTCTTTTGTCATATCCTTGTAATTCTTTTTGTTTTAATGATATTCCCTCATGTGTAGGATGCACCTTGCATTCTTCCATGTGAGTATATATATATATATATATATATATATATAACCGACCAAAGGGGGCATAACAAGTGGCAATCATCCTAATGAAAATAAGCAGTGTAATTCTAACTCTCTAATGAATGAGAAAATAGGGGAAATTTTGTCCCTCACATTGCCAACAAAATTTGTTTGATGAGTGCAATCCTATGCTAACTTTTGAACTGCTTGGTAATTAATTGAGGATGCTTCCCTTTTTACAATCATTAATTTCCTCACATTTATCATCACCTAGTAAGCCTTTCATGAAATGGGTGTTGAACATGGGTCCGTAATTCCACATTTTTTTTACGAGTCATTTAAGATATTTTAGCATTTTTTCCAATTAGCTTTTCTTGATTAAAGCATATTTCACATTTATTTCAAACAAAAAAAGCCCAACTTTTATAACTCAGTTTAGATTGGATATATATATATATATATATATATATATTGTGTGTGTGTGTCTATACATATATGCCTCTATGATGCCCATCCATTACATTAACCATTTATGCTTAAGAAACTGTAATATTAAACTAAAATTTTAATTAAATTTCATTTTGTTGGATCGTCTTAAGCTATGGGTGTTTGGGTTCATTTTTTACTTTTATTTTTACTATTTTATTTATATTTTAACTTAACATGAAAAATATTATAACATGATTAATTATTTATACTTACTCAAAATATGAATTCTTTTAAATATAAATTAAATTATTCTTTTCAAATAAAAAAATAAAGGAATGCAAAAAAATTACTAAAACAAATATATTTTTAAATTAAAAGCAAAATAAAAAAAAAAAGATAAGATCAAAATAATCCCAAACAAACCCTTTCAAAGGTCTATTTTCTTTTTTATTATTTATTATATTGCACACATTAACAAATATCAAACAAATAATCATTAATCTTAGTTCTACCAATGCTGACATACTTCCTATTATTTCCGAGTGCAAGGACTCTTTGTAATTACAACAACTAAAATCACCAAGTAAAATGTTGCCCTCCTGACCCTTGAAAGGTCTGCCAATAGCGACATTTAACCAAAACTACAATTTGTTTTATATAATTCTTATGCTTATAATGAATATTATGATCAATCAAAGAGAGTGAATCTTAGATCTGGTGCATCTACATCACTTACGAACAAATAAATCAAAGAATTTTAATTTATGCAGATTTTCTTAAATAGTGAGGCATTACTCCCATGATAATCATTCAATGCAACAGCAGTTTCCCAAAAGCAGTGCAAAGCTTTCTACTGATCCATCAGTGCAAGGAATTTGTTAAAACACAACTTGAACTGACTGCTCAAATCAGTAAATATAAAATTTTAAAGTACGATATATAAATACAGCAAAATTCAATGAGATGTTTATAAATCCCCGAAAAATTTTAATACAATCATTAAAGTGTAAAGAGACGCCGTATTCAATGCAAGTTACCAGCAAAGCTAATGTTTGTTACACTTCCATATAATTGTTTATTCAAATGGCGTTCTTCAAGGTTCAATGAAAACCTGCAACTTGCCATCCCTGCCTGCCACTGCCAATGCACCTGATTTGTTATCCAGCGCTACACACGAAACGCCACCTAATGCCACAAGAAAAAAACAGAAAATAAAAATACAAAAATACTCGTCATCATATTAAGTGGTTAGGTATCGGATTTTGTGCACAAGATAAATCTGAGCTTTCAAGTCATGCAAAATGAAAGCTACAATAACATGTTAAAATAAGATCTAAGTGCGTAAGAACCGGTAAAGTTTTTACCTTTCCCTCCCACTATCATGCAATCTTTCTTTGTTTTTTGCTGCTGCCTTTTCCCGATTTGGACTCCAATGCCCTCCTTTTCTCCTTCCCACTCTCCCTGCTGCCTACCCGAAGTGTTTGATATCACCGCCTCAAACTTTTATATGACATCGCCTCATCTAGGGCACCCCCTCTAGCCATCGATCCCTAACATCTCCCTCTCCTTCTTCCTCCTTTCTTTGTGGATCGAGCACCATAGGCTTCCTTCCCTCATCCCTCTCTTTCCCAAAACAATTGTCTTTCTAACCTAAACCAAGGCAATGGCTCCAAAAAAGAAGAGTCATTACAACCGCTCATGCAACAAGTCCTGTCCCTAGGGATCTTCACTGCCAATAGAAGTTACTCTCATCATGTATCAACCGCCAGTTCAGCTTGCACTTATGAATCATATTCGCGCAGCTTCGATGATCGATGAAAACTTACTACAACTTAGAAAACAAGCTCATATTGATTGAAATCTGATTTCAATATTGATCAAAATGACACTTTAAGAATCGAAGATCATCCGTGCCATCCAAATCATGAAAGACTTCGACAAGAGATACTTAGTGATGCACATTCTACTACATATTTTGCTCATCCAGAAAATATTAAGATATATTAAGATTTTAAGAAATTATTTTGGTGGTCGAGTGTGAAAACTAACGTAGCGAAGTGTTTGACCTATCAAATGGTCAAGACCAAACATCAGAGACCCAGTCATTTATTGCATCCCCTTCCCATTCCATTGTGGAATTTGGAGAAGATTTCAATCGATTTTGTGGTTGGCTTGTCGATATCAAAGCAGGGACAATGCAATTTTGGTTGTGGTCGATAGACTAACTAAATCACTAATTTTCATCCTCAGACAAACGAACATTCGTAGTGCACCATTCAGACTTTAGAAAACTTTTTAAGAACTTGCATTTTGGACGTCAGAGTTAGGTATGAGGATTATATTTTGTTGATGGAGTTTGCTTGTAATAATAGCTTCCAGGCTAATGTTGGCATGGCGTCATACAAAAAAATTTATAGCAGGAAGTGTACATCCCCACTGGCGTTGGTCTGAAGCTGGTGAAAGGGAAACATTCGGACCTCAATTTGCAGAACAAGCTATCAAGAAATTTAATCAGATTCGAGATCGACTACGTGGAGCCTAAAATCATTATAAGTACTTCAACCGAAAGCACAGGAAAATTGAATTCAAGGTTGAAGATCAAGTTTTTCTAAAAATTTCACCTGTGTGGAGTTACAAGATTTGGCCAGATTGTAAAGCTTCAGCTTCGCTTCATTGGTTCATTTGAGGTGATCAGGAAGTCAGTAGAGTTTTATACCATTTGGTTCTTCCTCCTAGACTTACAGGAGTGCATAATGTCTTTCATTTCTCTTTACTACGGCGCTATATTCATGACGACTCTCATATCATTCGATATAAGTCGTTGATGATTTGAGAAGACCTGAGTTATGAAAAATTACCAGATTGCATCTTGGAGCATGAAGTTTAACAACTTTGTCGTCAATCCATTCCTTTTGTCAGAATACTTTGGAAGAACCAATCAAAACAAGAAGCAGCCTGAGAGGTAGAAGAGATGATCATAAAGAGCCCACAGTTGTTCCAGAACCAAGGGACGAATTTAGGGGCAAATTTTTTTAATAGGGTGCAGTATTTAAGAACCGAAAATTTTTTTTCCTTCTCATGCTATCACGCATATTTTCTTACCTTTTTGTTGTTGCCCTCAAGATTTGGACTCCCGCAATTTTTTCCTTTTCCCATTC